CCCAGCAGGCTGGTGAGCGAGCGGGTGGTGGCGGTGGCAGCGAGCGGTGCAGTGCACATTGGAGAGGGGGGCACAGAACGCGGCAGCTGGTGCCACTTGCGAGGGGGAGATACCCAGAGCGCAGACATGCAGAGCGCAGAGATCGCAGACAAGCCCAGTGGCTCATACACACGGGCACGAGAGGCAAAAGAATTCAAGGTGCTGGGAGGGTACTGTACACATCCAGGAAGCTGCTGGAGAAAAAGGCGAAAAAGGAACATGGCACAAGGGTTTTGCAGAGGCATGGAGAGAGTGCGCAGGGGGAGCGAAAAGGAGAGCAGGGTGGTCCAGAGCTGCGGCCTTGGTAGCGGTCCCCCAACTGGAGCGCTGGCAGCCCGGCAGCTCTGCCGCTTCTGCTGCGCAGACAAGTGCAGCGGCACACACACGCGGGCACGAGATGCAAAAAATTGGAAGGTGCTGGGGGGGTACTGTACACGTCCAGGCAGCTGCTGGAGGCGGGGGAAAAAGGGGAAAAAGGAACATGGCACAAGGGTTGCGCAGAGGCATGGAGATGAGCGCGCAGGGGGAGCGGAAAGGAGAGCAGGGTGGTCCAGAGCGGCGGCCTAGGTGGCGGGCCACCCCCCCGACTGGAGCGCTGGCAGCCCGGCAGAGGCGCGCTGCTGTTGCGCGCTGTCTAATACATCCAAACGTCCAGACGCATGGTGGCGTCCAGGCCGGGGCAGCCGACCTCCACATCCTGCTCCCAGTCCTGCCGCTCCTCAGCAGGCAGTGGCCCCTGCACGGCGATGACGCCGCGCACCTGCAGCTGGTTGGGCTGGGTGGCTTCCAGCAGCTTGGGGTTGGCCACGTGCAGCAGCCACACCATCACCTTGCCGGCCAGCTGCAGCTGCTGCCGCGCCTTGGACAGCCCTGCACAGCGCAGACAGGTGGTGGTGGCATGCAAGGCGCAGAGGCGCGCTTGGACGGCATGCAGGCAGCAACACCGGGAGCGGCAGGACGGTCACGACAGTCCACACAGTGACGACGCCAGCAGCAGGCAGAGCGACGGTGGCACGCACCATAAGCAGCAGCAGACGCACCCTTCTTGCTGGCTTTCGCTTCCATCACCTCCACGGCGGCCACGCCGTCCTGCACTGCCAGGCGCGGCTCGCCATAAAAATCCAGCGAGGTGCGAAGCTGGCCAGCCGCCAGCACCGCAACTAGCATCACGACGGGGGCGCATGCATCTCGCCGCTGCTTCAGCAGGAAGTTGCGCAGGCCGGCGCTGCCGCTGGGTGGGGCGTCGCTTGCCGTGGCGGCCTCTGCAAGGCGGGGGCAACCAGGAGGGTGGGTGCACCCTGTCAGAAGCAGGCACGTCGGTACGTATGCCAGAGGCAAGTTCGGGGCACAAAGTGAATAGCACTTGCACATAACCTGCCCCGCCCAGCAAGCATAACCCACACACTTCCCTACCCCCACAAAAGCCCTATGTGCCTCACTGGTGCAGTACTCCTGCAGGGTGGACACAAACGCGCGCCACCACCGCGCACCCTCGCCCGCGCCGTTCGGCTGCTCCAGAAGGAGCGCCTGCACCTGCAGCATCACAGCGCCAACTGGCATGTGTCACCCCAGGTGCACGGCGTGAACATGCAGGTGGGCATGCAGGTGGAAGAGCCAGCTGGCACGCACACAGACCAGGGAGCAGGCAATCAAGCATGCATGGCTCTGCCTTCTTGAGCGGGCTAGTGCATACATGCGGGCCGAAGAGTCGCCAAGCTTACCTCACCCCAGCGAAGCCCCTCCGCCTGCCACCACGCAGCACCGCTGCCTTGCCCAAACTGGGACGCGAGGCTGCGCATCTGCGGCTCCTGCGCCTGCAGCAAGATGGGCACGGCGCAGCGTTCACCCCCGTGCACGCCGTCCCGGGAGTGTTCACACACTGAAACAGACATGCAGCATGCAGCTCCTTGCCGCTTCCTGCAAAGCACCTTGCCGACGCCCGAGCCTGCCCCAAGAACCTTGCTCACCTCCAGTGCGCGCAGCACCATCTGCCGCAGCGCGAAGAAGCCACAGTGCCCTTTCAGCACAGCATCCAGCACAGCATCCTCGTTGGCCGGGTAGCGGTCGCAGCTCGCAATGGCGAGCAGGCCGTGCACTGCGCAGGAAGCGCGAGGGGGAGCGTGCGCAGCACAGCGTGGAGCGCAGCTTGCTTCGGTGGACCCGAAACGGGCAAGGCCCAAACTCAGGTATCAAGCAGACGCCGGGGCTGCGCCCACATGCTGGCAAAGCACAACCAAACCGCAGATGATGTTGCATGGCAAGGGGAGCGGCCAGGGGCCAGGCAGGCGCATAGCAGGCAGTGCAATGCTGCCTTGCTGTTGGGGGCTGCCCCAGCCTGTCGCTCACCGTCAGTGACTTGACAGCCTGGCCAGTATCCTGCCAGGCTGTCAAACCCAAAGCTCGCGCGAGCCAGAGACTCGGCATTCGCGCCTGTGGCGCGCGCGAGAGCCGCAAGCTGCTTGTGCACCGGGGTCAGGCTCTGGTCCAGGGCATCCTGTGTCACCATCCCGCTCAGCCTCTGGTCCAGGGCATCCTGTGTCACCATCCCGCTCAGCCTCTGGTCCAGGGCGTGCCCCAGGGCATCCTGTGTCACCATCCCGCTCAGCCTCTGGTCCAGGGCATCCATCGTCACCATCCCGCTCAGCCTCTGGTCCAGGACGTGCTCCAGGGCGTCCTGTGTCACCATCCTGCTCAGCCTCTGGGTAATCTGGCCTAACTGCTCCATCAGCGCATTGGCCACGCCCTCGCTGCACACACGAACGAAGGGCCAGGGCACGTTAATGGTGAGGTTACGAGGAACTGCCTCGGTTCTGCGCAGCGCTAGGCACCAGCATGCAGCCCCACCGCCGGCGCAGTGCTCAACACAACCACGCAGTCTGCAAGGTAAGCTTCAATTTATAAGCATGGCCTTCCAAATTCGGGGCGCCCCCTGCCAGCCCTGCTGCACAACTCCCACGCATCTCGGCTGCACCAACCAACAACCTACAAGCTGTGTTTAGCCCGCACACACCTCATGAGCAGCTCGCCGCCCTGGCTTGTTGGGCTGGGTTCCCTAGGTGGAGGCGGTGCAGCTGCCGCCAGCTCCGTCTCGTGTCCAAAGCCAACGCCTCCGCCCGGCATCGGCTCTCCAGCGCTGCAGCAGCAGGCAGAAACAGGCAGGGGCCCGTCAGGCGCAAGGGTCTTTGCAATGGAGCAGCAGACCGCAGACAATCCACCCAAACTGCAGCCCCCTCTGATGCGCCACACGATTGCGTCCATCAACAAAAACGAGAGGCAGGCGCTCTGCGGGGGCACCACTTACGTGCGTTGCACCTCGTCCTCCCTCAGCACAAGGGTCTCACCCTCTGGGGGCTCGTCAATACTGCAGACAGGGCATGCACAGGTCAGCAAGTATGTCGTCGCGAGGTAAAGGTGCGGCAGACTCAGCTTCCCGTGCAACGCATCGAGCAAGCTCACTGTGCCATGGTGGTGGGCTCCTCCCCACCGCTTCCAGGCTGTCGAAAGCGCTCTCGCGCCGTCTCTCCCCTGCAACGTACAACCAGTGAGATGACAGTAACGGCGGAGGCACTGTGCTCGACTGGCACAGCGGCAGGCAACAGCGGCAAGCAACCGGCAACCAAACACCAAGCTCAGGCTGGCTGAAACCTTACCTGCCCTGCTCCTCAGAGCCCTCCCGCTCCTTCTCACTGGAGCACGCCGCAGTATGCCGCAGGCGCTGCCGCTGCCTGTGCAGCTGCAGCTTGGCCGCTGCCGGCGTCACCCTCGTCGCTGCCGCACCAGCCGCAGGTGGTCTGGAGAACCAGCCGCCGGCAGCCGAAGGCCATGCCCCTTGGTGGCGTGCCGTTGGCGCCGCAGCTAGGCCAGGGTGAGGGAGGGAGCGCACGACAGCCTGCATGGGTGCCTCCAACCTTCTGACACCGCCGGGCCTTGCGGCCCAGAGCCCAAGTACTTGTGCTGGAGGGGTTTGGGAGCCAGCAGGGTGCGCCCGGGGAGGCGGAACGCAGGAGATAGGGATGCTGGGGGCGTGCGTAAGCACTGTGTTGCCTGTGGCCTCTCAAGTATGCAGAGGGTTGCTAAAGACACGGGGTCTGCTCGATTTGACCAATAGAGAAGGGCGCAGCAGCGCGCTGCAGCGGATACAGAGAGACACCCGTGGGAGCTGCACAATTGGGCACCTGCGCGCCAGTTTCGTTCGATCCTAAGCAGTAGCTGGCTCTCCGCACGGCAGCGGGCTCCGGCGCGCTCGGGCGCGCCTGGCTCGCCAACGCACGCCGCCAGCACCCGCCAGTTTGTGGCCGCCTGCGTGCCGCCCGTCGCTCGCCGCTGTTCACGCCTCCACCCATCTTGCTCTGCTCCAGTGCAGGTGCGCCACCATGGAACACCTTGAACAATGGAAGAGGTGGTGCACCGCGGCAGCGGCCACGCCGCGGCGGCGCGCCGCCTGGGCTGGCAGCCAGGCACCGGTAGTCCGCCGCCTGGCAGCGACGGCGGCAGGCACCTGGTAGAGGGTAGCCGACAGCTCAGGGAGCATCTGTTCTTCGAAGACGTAGGTGGCCAGGCCCCCGCTGCGGGGCCCGGCAGGCGCTGCCGCCCGAGTCGCCCCGCTGTGAGAGCCCCGCTCATAGCGCACGCACACGCTGCCGGCGGTGGATGTCCATGTGAGGTTGTGGACGTGCAGGAAGAAGGTGAAGGAACAACCCTTGCCCTTGTGTTTCCTCAGCAGGCCCGTCGCACTGATCTGTCAGGGCGTAGAACCAGAAATGTTGATGGAGGTGGATCCGCAGCGGTCCATTATCAATGGGAAGCGATATTGCCCATGCCGCGTCTTGGTCAGAATGGCAAGCCGCTGACGTGTCGGCCGCCGCAGCAGACAGAGCTCAAATTTTGTTGCTGTTGTGGCTGGTCTTACAACAGATGCATGCATTCAGAACAGGGTGCAGATGCAACAGACACACGAATGCACAGCAGAATCATGTCGGGCCATGGGGCCCAGCAGGCTGGTGAGCGAGCGGGTGGTGGCGGTGGCGGCTCGAGTGGCAGTGCCGCAATGCTGCATGCTAGGACGGGAACAGGTAAGCAGGCATGGCGCCCGCCAGAGTGCCGCCTGACACTGTCGTGCCACTGCCGTTGCCCGCCTGTGTCGACTCCAGCGGGGGGGCGTACGCGTTGCCAGCCTTGGCGTGCAGCAGCGGGCGGTAGCCGCCTGTGGACCGCACGCGCTGCACAGGAGCCGGCGGCAGCGTGGCGGGTGTGTGGGGCTGCGCGGCGGTGTAACCGTAGCCGCCGGCCGCCTGGTAGGCGCCGCCATCGGAAGGTGGCGGCATGCCAGCAGAGACGGCCTCAGGTGACACCTTGTGTGCCGCCACCGCCACCTCGGGCTGGTGGTAGCCGTACTGCTGGTCGCTGTACGTGTACTGCTGCAGCAGCGGCGTCTGCTGGCCGTACGCCTGCTGGGGCGCCTGCCGCCCGCCGTACGCCTGCTGGGGCTGGGGCTGGGTGTACGTGTACTGCTGGCTGTACCGCTGGTCGCTGTAAGCCTGGTGGGGCTGGCTGTAGGAGCTGTTCCGCTCCTGGCCGCTGTACTGGGGCTGCTCCTGCCCCTGCTGGCCGCTGTAGGCCTGCTGCTGGTAGTACTGTCCCTGTGGCTGCTGGGGGGCCTGCTGAGCCTGCTGGTGAGGCTGGCCCTGGGAGCGCTGCAGCGGGCCAGCATGGAACTGAACTGCCACAGGCTGCTGCTGGGGCTGGTACTGCATCTGGTACTGCGAGGAAGCTGGCTGTGCCTGGTACTCAAAGGATTGAGGCGGAGGTTGGTACTGCGCTGCACCCTGGTACTGTGCGTGCTGCTGGTAGTGGTCGCCGCTCGAGGCATAGTGCTGAGGCGGCGGCGCCGCCTCCTCCCGCGCCCGCGGCACATGGTACTGCTGCGGCGCCGCCTGCTCCGCGTGCGGCGGCAGCGGCAGCGGCAGCAGCCCGCCGGCGGCAAGGCTGCCAGCGGGAGTGACGCCAGAGCCGTCGGCATGGCTGTGCCCCACTGCCGCAGAGCCGTGGTGTGGCTGCGGTGGCATGGCCGCCGCCGACTCCTGGACTGCCTCCTCGGCAGATGCCGCGGCCCTCGCGGCGGCGCGCTTGGCCTGCCTGCCCTTGCCAGGCTTGGCTGCAGCTTTGTGGGATGCTTGCGGTGGCGGCGCCTCGTGCCCGCCGTTGGCCGCGCTCAAGTCGTCGGTACCTTCAACGTCAGCGGGGCCAGAGGCAGCTGCGTGCTGGCTGCCGCGGGAAGGTGGCGGCGCGTATGCCTGGAAGCCGGTCCTGACGCGCCGCCCGGAGCGCTCCCCGCTGGCAACGCTGGCAACGCTGGCAACGCTGCCGCTCCTGGCGGGCAGGAAGCCTGCCGGCAGCGGCGGCGGCACCCAGAAGCTGCTGCTGCTGCTGCTGCTGCTGCTGCTGCTGCGTGGGGGCTGGCTCCTGCGGTTCGGCATCGGGGTACGGCGCAGGCGCGGCCTTGCCGCGGCCGCCCTTGGCTTTGCCCAGGCCCTTGCCGCGGCCCGCGGCGGCCAGCGCGCCCTCGCCGCGCCCGCCAGACTGCGGGCGAGCTGCCACCAGCACCGCCGCCGCCGCCTGCCCTTCGCGAGATGCCGGCCGGGGCGGCGGCGGCGGCGGCGCCACCTGCACGCCGCCCGATGCGGGGCGGGGGCCCGGCGGCGGCGGCGGCGGCGGGCCGTTGCCCGACCCAGGGCGTGGCCCTGGGGGCGGCGGCGCCGGCTGCGACGCTGTGGGGGCGACGGGCTTGGGTTTGAGTGGCTGGGTGGCCAGGGAGGGGAACTGGGAGGCATCCGAACCCTGGCAGGCGGGGAAGGCGGGCAGACAGGAAGGCAGGGTAAGGCAGCGGGCAGGGGTAGGGGCAGAGGGGCAGGGGCAGAGGCAGCGGCAGGCCAGGCAGGCGGGGCCCTCGCCGTGCATCCCTCCCTCCCTACACACTGGGGAGGCTCCGCAGCTCCTCCCTCCCCTCCTGCTGCTGCTGCTGCTGCTGCTGCTGCTGCCACGACTGCTGATGCTGCTGTGGCCACGACTGCTGGTGCTGCTGCCGCCACGACTGCTGCTGGTGGTACTGCCGCCACGACTGCCGCTGCCGCCGCCCTGCAGGCTCACCTCGGGGGCGGGGCGAGACTCTTCTGCCATGCGCCGGCTCTCCTCCAGCGCAAGGCTCATCTGCACACGAAACAGGGACGGCACAGCAGCAGGCAGCCAGCAGGCGTGGGTGCAGAGGGGGGGATGGCGGCGGCCAGGGGCGTGCTGCCCGGGGGCGTGCAGGCTTCCTCGCCTCGCTGCCGGCTTCCAAAACTGAAAGCCATCCGAAACTACCCATCTCACGTACACAGACCACACACCCACACACACCCTGCCGCTGCTTCCCGCCACCTTCCCACCTGTATCGCCTCCTGCAGCGCCAGGTCCTCCTGGTACGCGCGGTACTGCTCCAGCCCCATGCCGTGGGCAGCCGCCTCGCGCGCCAGCGCGCCGCCGCCGCCGCCGCCGCCGCCGCCCGCCGCCGCCGCCAGCGCCGCCGCAGATGGGCGGTCTGACCCTGGCAAAGCGTCCTGCGGTGGGGGGAGTGAGCAGGGGGGTGGTGTGGCAGCAAGGGCGGCAGGCTGGGGATGGGAGGGAGGTGTGGCAGGGCGCGGGAGGGAGGAGGGCGGGCAGGGTGCGGCAGGGCGGCGTACACCGCTGCACGGCTTCCCGCCGGGCCCCCGTTGTTGGGAGTCGATCAGGCTGCCATACGGGACAGGGGTGCGCGCATTTGGATGCTCGACAGCCACTCACCGCTGCGCGCAGGACCTGCTCCCGCCTGGTGGGCGCGCGCATGGCGGGCTGGGCGGCAAAGGCGTCGCGAGGCGGCGTGGGCTTGCCGGCGCCTGATGACGCCACTCTAGCCGCCTGGTATCCCGCGGGCAGGCGGAACTCGTGAGGCACGGAGCTGCTGGGCTCGGGCTCGGGGTCAGGGCTGGCAGGCGCCGCCGCCGCCGCCGCAGCGGCAGCAGCGGCCGGCTTCGGCTTGGTGCCGCCGCCGGCGGCGCTGCTGGCGCTGCGGCTCAGGCCGCCGCCACTGCTGGCGCCGCTGGGCTGCCGCTGCATGCCTGCCGCCGACAGCTCGCTGCCCACGCTCTTGGTGCGCTTGGCGGCGGCGGGCGCCGCCGGCTGGCTGGCGGCCGCCTTGCCCGCTGGAGCGGCCGCCGCGGCTTTGCCAGCCGCCTCCCGCTGCGCCCGCCGCTTGGCCGACTCCGCCTCGCGCTCGTACTCTGCCTGCGCGCGTGCAATCACCTTCTGCCTCGCCTTCTCCTTGCGAGCCTCCTCCTGGCGCCGCCGCTCCGCGTCCGCCGCCGCCTCGGCCGCGCGCCGCTCCTCCACCGCACGGTCCACCTCGGCACGCTCAGCCTGCTTGGCCTTGCGCAGGCTCTTCTTGCCCTGCCCCGCGGGTGCGGCGACGGCAGCAGCGTCGGCCGCCTTCTCGCCAGCCGCCTGCGGTGCCACGCCGCTTGTGGCATACAGCGCCTCCACGCTCCACTCCCCCACAGCAGCCTGCTCGCCCTCGCCCTCGCCCCCATCCTCGCCGCCCTCCTCCTGCTTGCAGGGCCGCACCCTGCAGCCAGGTGGGGCGGGCAGGGCGGAAAAAGGGTGGCAGCGAAAACGTTGTGGGCGGCACAACACACACAGGACGCCATGTCAGCGCCGCCGCCGGCCCTGCCCTGCATGGCCCTGCCTGGCCGCCCCGCCCCCGCGCACTACCGCTCTGTACCGCCGTACCGCCGACGCTCACCTGAATGCATACTTGGTGCCTGGCATCAGGCCGCCAACCTCCACCCGCATCAGACCGTTGCGCACTTCCACCTCCTCCCACTCGCCCGGCTGCTGGCCGGGGATGACGGCGCGGTACTGCAGCTCCCAGTAGAAGCAGTCGGGAGGCTGCAGGGAGGGTGGAAGGGCAGGGCGCCACAGGTGCGTGGTATGGGTGTGCCTGGTGCTGCAGGAGGAAGAGCCCCATTCACCGCACCACGCCACACCATCCCACGCTGCACGCCACCACACCAGCTGAGCGCAACACCCAACCCAACCCTCACACACGGCCGCCTGCTCACCCTGTCGTGCTTGAAGTCTGACAGGCGGCTGGTCTTGCCGCGGTCGACATCCAGCGTGATGGAGCTGTTGCTGCAGCAGGGGCAGGCAGGCAGGGCAGGGCAGGGCAGGAGGCTGGCTGGAACCGGTGCCCTTGTACCGAGCCGGCAGGACAACCGGGCATGGTAAAAGGGGGGAGGCGGCATGGCATGAAGCATACAGCTGCTGGCCGCAGTGCGCAGCCCAATGCCTGCCCGCCCCCTGGCGCTTGCCTGTACGCCACGCGCGTGGGGCGCGACAGCTGGGCCAGCCAGCGCTGGTCGCGCTCGGCCAGCTCGCGCCGCCGCCGGTTGGCGGCATCGTACTGCAGCCAGAGAGGGGGGGAGAGGGTACAGTGTGCCTGTGAGTGTGTGTGTGTGTGTGTGTGTGTGAGAGAGAGAGAGAAGGATGCCGTCAAGCCCATTTGTGCGGGCGTTGCAGCAGGGCCGCGGCACCTTGCAGCACGGCCTCCGCCCGGATGGGTCCCGCGCCCCCGCCTGCCCCCGCCAGCCCACCTGCTCTTCACTCGGTCTGCTTC